AACCGAAATGGCAAAATAGATTAGAAATTGGAATAAAAATTTGTCAGCAGCTTAAGTCGTATTAAAAGGACGCACTCAATGCTTTTTGTTGTCAAACATGTCAACCAATTCCAAACACTCGGTCGCGTTAATTTATCAAAATTTTAAAATCCTTTTTCTCGGTGGCACTCACTTTTCTGGGGTAGCAGTCGCCCTTTTCAACTGCATTGATAGTTTCTTTTTTCGCGGTTTTTGAGCACATGTTGATGCTGTAAATTAAGTCAAGTTGAAAGATAAATTCTCGTTTATTGATAAGGGTTAGAAATACGTTAAAATAAATGGTTAAATTAAAAAATACCCGACTGTGATAAGATCTGAACACGTTCATAAATCCGACCTCGTTTATGCCAATGAATAGGGTTTACTTTGGATTAAGACTTGCGGTTGGGTATTGAATATATTATTATATATTGTTGCATATGCAGAGCACTGAGATAGCACTTAAACATATGTCTCAATTCAAGAGATTTAGATATTTTTATATATTATGTTTTTTTTAATTTTTTACTTCTATTTTACGAATCAATATCTTCTTTGATTTGATTTATTTGACGGTTCAAGTATTAGGATATACTAGAATATTATATTAGATTCACTAGAAGTTGACCATATATTTTAAATAATTCGAAGCATTATAGGAAACAAATTTTATCTGAAGTTTATGTTTTTTTCAGGATGAAATATTCAATTATTATATGGTATCCCATGCATCATGACGTATGGTACATCATATATGCATACATATGAATATATGGATATATTTAATTAAATACACAACATTTCGTAAAATATAAATATTTTATATATCTTCACTAAAATTGTTGAAAAATAATTTAAATATATGATCACTTCCATATAAGAATTTCTCTAAAAAATATATTTCACTTTAAAACCTTCTCCCATCAATCCCACTCATTTCCCTTTTGATCCATTCTAGCTTTGTTACCGTAAAGAAGTATTGGTATAAAAACTGAAAAAAATAGGGTTTTGTTATATATATTTGCAGTGATGAAGTATATATGTATATATGTTAAAAACCATCTTCTAGTATTTTTAGCAGATAGTAGATATTAGATTGTAGGGTTCTATTTTATGTATTTGTGATGAAGTAATTATAGTATACATCTTAAAAACCATATTTCTCGAGTTTATGTGCCCATTCTAGTATTTTTAGTAGATAGTAGATATTTTTTGCCCAACCTTTTTTTTTGTAGTCTAATAAATCAATTACCTATAATGAGAGTTAAGAGCAGAATTATTTATACACACAACGTTATGTATAATTTTTTAAAAGGTCTGTTTAAGTGCATCCTTTTCAGAAGAACTAAAGGTAACTCTTCTATCATTTAATTTATTCATAGTTATTACAAACAGTAATATATCAATATATCTGGTTTTTCATTAATAACTTTTTGTATTAAGAAATAAAAACGTAAAATAAATAAATTTTATGTTTATTTATATACAAAATTAAATAGAATTATTTAAATAAAATAAATAAAAAATAAAATATAATAAAATAAAGAAATAAAATAATAAAAAAAATAATATAAAGAAAAAAATAAAATAAAAAAATAGTAAAAAATCAATAGCTGTGTAGTATTTTCGCTAAACTGCAAAAATATTGGGTTTGCTAACCTTAGATCAAAATGCAGCTGCTTAAATATCACCAGAGGGTCTATTTTTATTTTATATTTTATTTAATCCTTTTATTCCTAGGTGGAACAGAGGGCCGTAACAAATAGTTTCCATTGAACTCTATCTAATGCAAGACGTTTTGTCTTTCCAGCATTTCTTAATTCGGCTTCAGTTTGTCGTTTCCAAGTGTTGCGCGGACGCCCTGGTCTTCTACTGCCTTGAGGGTTGAGGGTCTATTACAATAGTTTAATTAAAAGAATTTTTAGCCAATCCAATACTTGCGAATCAAACGCGGATCTATCACTATACTTCGGTGATGAAGAAATAATCAAGACAATTCCGTAATCAAGAAACCATCAAAACAGTGAAGGAAATTAGAAATGTGAATCTATCACTATTTTTTAATAAGACTCATAGCTACTTTGTTTTGGAATGTGGAAAGAGTGTGTTATCCATTTATTAACTTGTAAATGATTATACATTTACTATAAGATGCTATACTATATATCTTTTATTATCTTGAAAAGAACTTAAGTTTAATTAAGAGAATGAACGGACTTTCGCTCTGGTGGTATTCGTGGTTGAAATTCAAGAACTACTTTTTGTAGTCAAAAGTTTAGAATAGTGAAAATTTGATTTGAATGACAAAAATTTTCGTTGAATATGGAAGCTATATCCACCATTAGTAGATATTTGTAAAATCTTGACGTAATATACTGCTTAGAGGGGTTGAAGTAGTTGGAGGATTATAAGCCAAAACAAAGTTTTTAAATATTGCTATTTGTGTTGAATATAAGAGCTGCTAAATACTCATCGTGCAGGTAAATACCTTTTACTTATTTTTTATGCGTGACTGACGTGACTAACACCAATTTTCCAAATATTGAATAAACTATTCGGATACGTTAAGTAAAATGTACTTAAAACTTTCTTTTGATATAAAAACTAAATTTTTCATAGATGATGAGAGAATAGATGGTTGAGAGAATTTGGTAGAAAATACTTTCAAACCAAATATCAGCTGTATCTTGCATTTAAGTGAAGCTATGATAAATAGTGATAGAATGACTATTTTTTTATTATTTAATGTCCGTAGACTTAAGTGTACAAAGACATCTGACTATTTTTTCAGTTGGAAGTGGAAATATTTAAACAATAATAATTTTAGTAAAACATATTTTCTGATATATATCTCCAATTTATACTTGACATATCTTCAATTTATACTTGATTATACCTTTGTATAGAGTTTTTACTTTAAGGGATAGAGATATTACATATACTTATTCAATGGACATCAAATATTCCTATTCATTTACTTATAATTAATGCAAAATACGATTACTTAATGGTGTCTTCTGAGAGTTGTAATCATATCTTTAATTTTGCATCCGGACAGTGCTTTGTTTATTTGATTCCATGAAACCCTTTTTAATTGCAACATTGAAAATATGTTAATGTGGCTTCAATTAAACCATTTTCGTTCCTGATTTGCAGCTTCACAGACAAACATACACACACACACGAGTGGTGAGTACACACTCACATACACCAATTCAGCTTGCCAGTCGTCTCCCAGTTCTTATGAGGATGACTCCTCGCACTCACGTCACGTTCACATGAATTATGCATATGGAATTCGCAGTAATGAAAACAAAAAATGAGAAGCCGAAGGATGCGGAAATGATGACGCGAAAGCTGCGATAATGAAGCAGCAAATGTGATTCTTTGCTCAGATGTGGGAAGTTTTTATTGTCTTTGGCTGCGTTTTGTGTTTTGTGTTTTCTGCTTTGTTTTGTTTTTGGATTTGCCTTTGTTTGCTTTGTATATTAATTATGCGTGTTTTGGTGTGAAACTTCAACACATTGTTTGAATTTTAAATAAGACATAAAATTTTAACGAGCCAACGTTTTCCAGCGCAATTAAACCAACAACTTCGACTTTAAAGAATTTAATTTCGCAATAAGAAGTCGAAGTGAGAAATTTACGACTTGCGTTTGCAATAAATTGTTGAGCTTTTAACGAAATTTAAAATTTTTCACTTAACTTAGAAAGTGGCTATATGGCTATATGGAGCAATAACGGAGCAATAATAAATACAACAATCGCAGCAACAATCGCAACAACAATGAGCACATTAAGCGGTTCCATGGCAACATTCAATGCAAATTGAGCTATTTACGCAAATTTTATTGCCAACATTTTTATATTTATTTGCGAATTTCTGCTTTTAAAATATTTTTTTTTTGTTTTTCTTTTTTTTTTTGTGAGCATTTTACCCTTTGCCACAAAATTTACAGTTATAACACATGCACACATGTCCCTAATGCCCCCAAGGTTAGGAGCTGCTGCAGTAGTTTTTCGCAATGGGATTTTCCTCGCTACTAAATCAGGCAATTTAAATATTTGGTCTTTTTTGCTATTGTTTGTCTTTGCACACATTTCCTTTTGCATATAAAAAGTATCCTTTATGTACGTGAAAATGTTCTGTGTGCGAAGTTGAAAGCGAAAGTGGAAAAAATGGTTTATTGTTAACCCTTTTTGCGCGGTTATTGTAGTTGTTCGGGCCAAATTTGCAGCTAGTGGCGCTTAACAATCTTATATGTCCCTAGGCAATATCGTACTTCCCTAGGGCGAAAATTCGCATGTCACACAAATTATGTGATTTTGTGCCATTATTACACTAAACGACCCTCGCCTCAATAAGCAATTGTCGTGATTTCCAGCTTCCGGTGCGGCACAATATTTCCAAAGCAACTGTAATGTGTTTTTTATTGAGGAGCTCAAAATTTCTGAATTTAATATTGTCACAGCAGCTTATCTTATCGTAATTACGGTGCCAATGTATCGAAGAAATTTTTCTCAAATAGATAATTCAGGTTTCTATATAAAGCGAGGACATAAAAAATCATATAATATAAATAAATTACTATTTATTTTTAGATAAGAAGATTTAAAGTTGTTAAAAAAGTTTTAAAATTTTAACTCCAATGCAAAATATAAAGAAAGTATTTTAGGTTTTTTATTTAATATTACGAAAAATATAAAATTTATAACAAACAGAAGGTTATGAAATAAAGTATCACATTGTTGTATTCATTTTATGATATTATACTATTCGATAGGTGGTTAAGTAATAGTAAAGATCCTAAGCAGTTTTTTTGTGCAGTAGGTGGAAAGCAACGAAAGCCACAGTGTGAGACTTGAACCCAATGAAACAATCTCTTAGGAAACTGTGGAAATTTCATTCCAGTAATAAAGGGAAAGAGATTGGAACAAGAGGCTTAATACCTAGCAGAATAGATTCATCTAAGCTATAAAGTATGGGCATAAATAAGGTGTGTCGGGAATTCCTGAAGAAGGTTGGAGTTATTGCGCAAGCGCGTGAGTACTAGTGTTAGACTCTGTGACTAGTGTTGCAACAACAGCATATATTGTGAAATCGGTTTCAGATATTTGCTATTTGATATTGTTCAGTGGCGGTTCCTAACAATATGAACTACCCTATATAGAATTCGAAAGAATTAAATCCTTTTTTGTGCTGAGATACCATATAAGCTCTGGTGCACCAATACTTTCTCAACCAATTTCTGCCACCTGACTCGATCTGATTTCAAGTTTTTCCAATCGTTCATGCGTAAATATAAATTAATTCTTGGCAGCAACTTTCATTTAAGTGTTACCTATAATTTGCAACCAATTAATTTAATTTAATTAATGAATTGATTTCCAAGGATGCATAATTATTTATTGATTTGTTCTTTACTCCTCGTATTAAGGTCTTGGCAGGAGCGCATGGTGCAGAATATAATGCAGAATGGTAAATTTTAGATACTTATTCATATTAGAAAAAATTATTTAGGAATTAATTACAGATATCAATGAATGATTTTCAATTATTGTTAATGTAGCTATTATTTATATTTAATATTTTATATATACCTTCAACAAAACCTCACATTGCCGACATTTTTCTTTATATATGTTTGTTAAAACATTATTATGATGTTTTGATCCATTTATGCAAATTTAAAGTTCCTTAATGTAACCTTTGAACTTTTTTATGGGAAATATATTAATTCATAAAATATTTACATTTTTTTTCTAAAAAAAATGATTATCTAAATCATTTGTTTTGAAAACTTGACAATTTCCAAAAAGCAATAAAAGGAATGTACACACGAAGCTTTCTTAAGTGGATTACTAAAGAATAATAAAAACGAAATGTTTGGTTTTGTTTGATGTCGATGTGGGATATGTGACTTTAAATGGGGTGTTAAAGTTTTTAAAGTATAATTAATGCCTTTCGATTGGAAATAAATTTCGACCTACTAAAGTGGCGCAACTTTTTGAAAATGTGAAGAGTAATTGAAATTATAAATTCCAAATAAATTCACTCCATAAATACGAATACATGCATGTTTATTTAAATCCCATCGAACATGTATTTTACGATTGATTTATTTTATGGCATAATTAAGTGGTTCAACTTTTCATAAACTTTCGCTGGGATTCAATAATAACACACAATTGAAGTTTCAGTGTTGCATTTAATTGGTAATAAAAGTGAGAAACAATTAACTCGTAACACGCATTTCGGAACACTCATCGTAATTATGGGTTCTTATTTGAAAATAATTGGTCGACTGACTATTTAAAAATAGAGCACGACAGTTAAAACTTTTACTGGTTTTAATTAAATTATTAATCAAAAATTTTTATATATAAGTTAAATAGACACCATTAAATAATTCCAAATATGCAAAGGAATAAATAACTTAAAACATTTTGGATGAGAGCTTGTGTTGCTGTAGAAATTTCTCGAAAACTAAGCTATGTTCACATATCGTGTAGTGGAGAAATTTGTTGAAAATAGTTGTGCTTACTAAAATCCATTTTCAAGTGATCATGTTTGGGAAATCCGAATCGTACTGGAAATAATTTTTATTATTGGCATACCAATGAAATAAAATTTTATGTGGGTTGATATGAATTGGTTTTATAAAGTTTAAAGTTAAAACAATATCCTACAAGTGACATGTCGACAGTTTATAGGATCTTATTATACAATTATTATGTGAGTGCCGAAACCAGCAGAGTATACATGCTTGTTCTTTTTTTCCCCTAAAATATCTTCACGATATCACCACTACAGGTGTTTCTTCATTAAAGCAACAGATTCTTCTCCTGGTTTGAATTAAAATTATTTTTCCCACAATTCCTTGCAACAGCTAGTATGAGTTTAAAAGTGTGGTATTACAATGTATTAATTTTCAGTGAGTAATTCGATTTACCATATAAATTACAAAGTTTTTTTTCAAAGCTATACGAAAATCATTTCTTAGGAAATAAATATTATTCCGCATCTCATAAAGAACATATTAGTACATTTCTGGTCTGCCGCAAATCTTAAGGATCTTCATTTCACATCATTCTGGTATGTTTAATAGGACATGAGTAAATGTTATGTTGTTGCTGCGATTTACAGTGCCAAAAGTTGATTTCATAATGCTACTAGTCTGATTTACTTTTTAGGGATTTTATAAATTTTTTTTGTTTTTTGAATTTTATTTTGCTGTTTTATTAAATCTTCTAAAATTCAACTTAGAACTAGTAATAAATTAGCGCTGGTACTTGCTTTATTCGAATATAAAATAAATAATTAATTGTCGTTACCCAAAGTTTCGTCCAACTTCCTTTCTGTGTCGGGCATTATTCTTGAATAGCCGGGTTTATATAGTTCCGTTTAAGTTACTGGGTTCCAGTGCTTTGGTTAAGGTTGGTTGCAAGTGGATTTTGGTGGTTCCTGAGTGTTTGTTTTTGTACTTTTGTGTGTTGCAGACAATTACATCTATGACTGTGTTAATTCGAAGATCTCTATAAATATTCGAGTTTTTTTATATGCCCAGGGTCATCAGGGGTCTTTGGAGTTTTTCGATGTTTGATGGAGAAATAGAGTTCCAGAGTTTAATTCCGTTGGTCCGCTGATTTCTGCGGACCAACGTAATTCTTGAATTCAGATAACACTCAGTTAGTTGTTTTTGGTATATTAGTCTCAGTATATATTAAAATAGTTAATTATTAATTAGGCACTAGTAATAGTAAGAATTTGTTAGTAAGCTTTTAGTGTTTAATGACATGTAATAAATCAGTATTATTACTAAACCTTAATTTTTTAACGATATTCTCATATCACTTCGTAAAATAAAAATGAACAATTAAAGAATTAAAAAAATTCCACTTAAAATAATTTTTTAATTATAAATTCTATTTAAATAAAGTGAATATTACTATATGACTATCCATGTAACAGTTTTTATGAATATCGAATAAATAAGTTTACATAAAATAGCTTAAAATTGCAAATTTATTTATAATAAAAACATAATTTGTTTTATTTTATGCTTTTCAGCTAAATCCCGTCATTTTCCAGTGAATGGTTTAAGCTCAAATTCGCAACTTCATCAGCAACAGCAGCAGCAGCAGCAACAACAACAAACTGACACACGTAATATTTACAACAATCCTTACACACCTTCACAGCAACAGCAGCAACTTCGTTCGCAGCAGCATATTTTTAAGTCCATTGCGAACAGCACCGGAAGCGGAAACCAATACGACTACTCATCTACGAACTCGAACGAGCAACTAGGTGCATCGGAAGCGGATAACGCATTTCTCACTCATAATAACGGTAAGTGTAAAAATATAAAAGAAAGAAATCAAAATAAAATTAAAATAAAACACATAATTTGTTACACACATCCTTCGTCTCACACCGTGGAGGTGTACTGCGCTAGGTGCTAGATGCTAGGTGCCATGTCCTAGCTCCTGTTGCTGCCAAACATGGCAATGGTGTGTGCTATCGCTGTGCAACACTGTGAATAAATCCTGTCTCGCAGTACGGCACTTTATTCGCCTTTTTCCCAACAAATTGTTTCTCATTTCGTTGCAAGTGGCAAGTGAGTGCTTGAAATTACGATCGTCGTCCTTGCTGCTTCCCTGCGCTTTGTCTTCTTTATAATTGCTGTTCTGATTAAAATATGACGTAAATTTATGAGCAGTTAAGGATAATAAAATTTATAATACTTTGCATTAATTTAATGTTCAGCCTTTAATTACTCAAATAGATTTCAAATGCGTATAGTAGCGGAAAATAACTAAATTACTGTTAAGAAAATAATCTAAGGGATAATGGTACATTTTTTGTTATTATTTGTTCTTAAAGTATTGGTACCATAGGCGATTGGAAGTAATATTTTACGGTCATAAATCTGCAATTGTGTATGATATCTTCATAATTAAAAAATCAGGAATTTTGGTTACGTTGCCATATTTTCATAAAAACAATATGTATTTGCACTTTAATACTGTTTATAATAGTTTATTAAGGTTCTGCTAAAATTCTGCAATTGTGGAACTTTATCTCTAAAACTTTATATTTGGAAAGTATTTGATCGGATTGTAACCACTGAAAATTATTAAAAAAAAATTTTTTTTGCACCTACATAATTTTACATTTAATACATTTTATAATTCGTACACCGCTTGGGCCACGACCTCAGGGTGTTATATCATATGTCAGTTTTAAAATAAGAATTTCGGATCAATTAGACAATTGTGTTGCCTGTAAGTGATTGTTGTTGTCAATAACTTGCTTAATACATAATTTTATTATACATAATTTTACATTTAATACATTTTATAATTCGTACACCGCTTGGGCCACGACCTCAGGGTGTTATATCATATGTCAGTTTTAAAATAAGAATTTCGGATCAATTAGACAATTGTGTTGCCTGTAAGTGATTGTTGTTGTCAATAACTTGCTTAAACCTCTATCATCAATCGGTGGCTACTTTTCTAAACCATTTCCGTAATTTGAGGAAGGAGCTTTTATCAACGTTCTTTCAGTTTTGAATAGTTCATAGGTTCTATTTAGTTATAACTTACTTATACGTAAACAAATTGTTATTGTCTATGAAACAATTGTACTTAAATATTTTAACCTAGTTTACTATCTTATATATTGATAATAACATTCATAGCAGCATAATCTTCCTGGTGTATCTACCTTGTAGCTACAAGTTAGCAAGTATCAGTATATATATATAAGTATAAGTATCAGCGCAAGGTCAATTGTATTCGAAATGACTATATTCTCTTAACTGCTTTCATTTTATAGGGATTATTCTAAGATTTGCGTTGACTAAAATTCATAATAAACTGATAATCATAATTTAATAATAAAAAAGGCTTTAAACCGTTTATAAATCTACATAAATTGATTCTGTCCCGTATTTGAACCACATAATTACTGGTTCACTTTAAAGACAGATTTATTCAGTCAAAAGTCCACGGTACAGTTGGTGGTTCGGTTCCATTGCACTAAAAAGTATGATATTCCAGCTTGGATAAGAATCGGTGCTGGTAATAAAAATTGCAATTAATAGCTTTAACATGCATTATTTCTCTAAATAATATTTAATATTTCTTCATTTTTATTTAAACGATAATAAATAATTGTTTATTTCATCCTCCTGCTGCTTGAGCTTGAAGAGTTAAGCTGCTGTGTTTTATATTTTCATTAATTGTAACTATTGCCATCCTTATTACCATCAACAATAAAAAAGTGTATTGCACTGGTGTTCTACCCATACCTAAAAAAAAGCACAAGAAATATATAAATAAATATTCCGTTCATAATTTTTTTCTGAATGAGAGATCATTAAAATATATAAAATATTAATATTAATACTTTAAACATATAGGTATATAGACGAAATTAACAAAGTATACTGCTCACTTGTGATATACTTAATACCATTTCTTACTTACACATTTAATTGGTCATAACAATCCTTTATCGGATTTCTGCTTGATGCAGATCTTCAACAAAATCCATTTATTCTTGATATAAGATCATTACATAAAGACTAAATTTAATTTTTTTCAATGATATTGAATTATTTTAATATTGAAAAAAATTTAAAAATAGTTTATAATATTGCATATCTTTTAGTTAGTGTGTAATATGGAATTGAAACATATAAGTAAAAGGGTCTAAAATCAAATCAATTGAAGTTAAAAATTTGAGTTAATTTTTTTTAAATGAATAAAATTTAATGCATTTAATGTACACATAAATGAAAACAAACGCTCCTTCCTACAGACTCCATATTCAGTTGAAGAAAATGGCCAATATTGTTTGGCAATGTTTAACCGTTTAAGCCATGTTACAAGCATTATCAACAAATCACTCCCCAGAGGCTAAGCAACTATAAAATGTGGCTAACTGCAATTGCCAAGGATGATAACGTGAATGCGAAGTTAAAACTTTTGCTCAACAAAACAGTGAAATACAGCAAAAAAAAATATAAATATTGTGAAAACAAAAAAAAAATTTTTAACAATCTAGGCGCTCACATTGCTAACACAAAAGCAGTTCTCGAAACTACAATCCTACGCACGCACATAGACTGAGTCCTTTAGCCTAACACAAACATTTCCGTAAAAATACATGAAAAGTAAAAGGGAAGAAGCTTGAATGTTGCAAAGCGCAATAAACTTAAATCACGATTAAAAGTGTGATTATCCTTGCGGCGCTACAAATTGCTTCAGCTTACACAGCCAACTCACAGCCTCGGCAGCATCATCACAACTCATTCATCTCGGCAGGATCCTAACAATGCAGCACACATGCACGCAAGCATGCAATGCTGTGCAGGAGTCGTTGTTGTTGGTGGTTCGTTTTTATGCTTTAATTTAGTTTGTTGCCTTCAAAAAGTAGCAAGTATTTTATTTATTTGTATTGTTATGTGTCCTGGCGCACAACTGTAAGAGTGTGTGACTTCGTCTTCCTCTTGTTAGCCTTATAAGTAAAACAGATATGAGAGATTATATTTTCTTTTTGCCAATAACAGTCGCTTAAAGCCAACATGCTTCGTGATTCAGTGAAGCTTTTAAAGACACTGTTGCGCTCCACAATGTCTTTAATGGGTTCAGTTCAGAAATGCAAAATTCTAAAAATTTACTCTTAAGCAAGTTAACCGATTTTAAAAACATTTCTTTGAAACCCATCAATGGGTATTGGACTTAAGATCCAATGCAGTACAGCTTGAAAATTTTAATGAAATCTATATTTTAGTGTTTGATGTGTAAATCTACTAAATGAGAAAGTTAAACTGTATGCTTACAGTTTGTCACTTGAGACAGACTAAAGTTGTTACTTTGTATTTAAAAATATGGTTTCAATGCATATCTGTCAGAGCTTCCTCAGTCTTAATAGATCTGAGTTCCGATTAATCACTAGATTCTTAATCACTTCACACAACCTTTCAAAAACAGGACTAACAGACAACGATACCTACAAATACTGCAAGATGTAGAATTTAACTTGCGCCTAACTTATCTATTTGTGTCCTATTATTATCAGGAAGTGAGTTTGTGTATTTATATGGCTTTAATTGAATTTAATGGGGCTTTAGATCTAGATACAAGGGACATTATTAACATTGTTAACACCGTTAATTTGTTATTTTGGTTAATTTATAAGACTCTTTCCATATGGCATCTGTAAACATTTCTAGGCAATTTGGACACGTTTCATTAAAAGGAAATCCAATACTATCATTGAGATGCCCCGTAGAGATATCAATCTTGTGGTTTACTAACAGATTATTGCAGGTGAGGTAACCATGCTAGAGGATTGAATCTCCCTTTCAATTTTACTTACATCTACCATCTCCTTTGTTCTTGTCCGACATATGAACGGCGCAGCCATATCACTGCATACACTTTTTGAGGATCTTGGTCAACTGCAAGATTTTTTCTTAAATAGCAAAACAAGCTCTGTCAAAGTTTCAAGGTGGTTTTAAACCTCTGAGTTTTTCCTTATACGGTAACACAATAAGCGTATAGGCCTAAGTGGATCCCTTTGGATCGCCAGTACAATCCAACCAGGGATATAAGATTATATTTTATAGGTCGTAGTGTACCATTTACTCTTTTAACAGTAATATCAATAATTTTTAAAAATAATAAAAACAGAGCTTATTGTTGTTATGAAAATTTTTTGACTAGCATACAAGACTTGGTAAAATCAACTAATACTTAATTTTAACATGAAAAAAATAATAAATTTTTCTTGAATTCTCTTGTCTTTTAAATGGGGCTAAGAATGCCGCTTCAATAAAATTATATCCTCTTCAAAGTTCATGTCTCCTAAATTCATTATAATTATAACTTGTAAATTACTTTCCAAAAAAGTAGTCCCTTTAATTCACTGAAACCTTATTAATAAGTAATAATAATCACAACCGGCTTGCAAATCAAATCTTATTAAAATATTCTTTTATCCTTTTTCTCGTTAACTCCAGACAATGAAGTCCTTTAAAATCAGTGAAATTATTTGCAAACATTGCAAGAAAAATAAACAAATAAAAGCGAAATTTTTCTATTAAAACAAAACAAATAAAAACGGTAATGAAAAGCAAATGCATATGTCCAGTTTTGGGTAATGGCGATTGCTGTCAATTGATTTACTCTTTAGGAAACCCAAACTAAGCGCACCCTAAATGTCAATTGAACATTGAAGGATTGCAAAATACAAACGGGCATATTGTGTTAAGTTAAATGCAAAATGACTTGAAACAACAAGGGCTTATCACGGCTGACCCATCGAGTATTGTATGTAAAGTTTGTATAATATCTCAATTCGGCAGACATGTATAGCAAATCACCCCTTTGCAGACGAACTCCGCAAACGAAGCGAACGGACAGACATTTTGACTCACATTTCAATGATGAACTTAACTTATGTCAAAATATGCGATAAGTAATCCTTTTTTGTTTGTGCAAAGCTTCGGTGACCGGGAGGTCTTCAATCAATACACTTGCTCAGAAAATGCCTGTGTAAATATTTTAAGAGATTGTGATAAGTTTTTCTATTTTCGTTCATTTGTCACGAGTAAAACAATGAGATGAAAATAAATAAATAGATATGCACGCCAATATACTGATCCCTAATTCGCAGTAAGGCACATTGTAGCCAAAAATTGTTATCCCATGGTCCAACGCACTACGTAAGCTCATTGACCGTTGTCGGCCAACTCATCCATGCGCCTGCAAATCATTGCGATTTCATTCGATTCGTTCAAGTTTAT